GTGAGACCAAGGAAATGATACAAGTCGAGCTGCTAGAGTCAAATTAAGGTACTTGATCATCCAACCAAACCAAACTATATCAAATCTAATAGTCGAACCACTCGATCAGACTCATTCGAACTGGTTCACCTAAACAAATTTGAAGAGACTCTTTCTATAAATAAGAGGAAGAGGCTTGGGGCATGAGGTACATTCTATGACTCTACTTTTGTCTACTCTCAACTGAACCCTTTGTTTGACAATTAAAGCATCGGAATGTGTTAGCGTTAGCACACACCAATATATAGATCTAATGTGCGTGTAGGTGTTCGTTGGAGCATTCGACATCAAAGCTTAGATCCAAATCCTACATTTAAACAATATATTTGATGCATGAGTTTACTTATTTCATATCAAATTTTGTAATCGTCTCGAAATACAAAAACCTAGACCACTTGTAAAATTTATTGTTTCCTAATTCTAATCACTCGAAGAGATAACTGGAAAGGGAGTTAATGTAAGTAGGACCTGCAAAAAAAAGTAGTAAACACTCCGACACTCAAGTTAGTAGCTCTTAAGTTCGGCCGACTTATTTGTCTAGAGAAGAGCAATCAAATTTGCATACCTACATAGGAAAACTTATATTCGTATTTTAAGCATTTAGAAGTGGGTCCACTCATCACCCACTTTACACGTCACGCGATTTCAGCACATCATTTGCGGCAAGGTGAAATTGAAAGTGGCAAATTAAGGCGCGGATTGTTAAGGATCCCACGTTAAAAAAAGATAATAAGGGATCTAACAATGGTTTATAATATAAGTGAGCTAACTACTCTCCAATTGGTTTTGAGATGGAACTCCATGAATATTGATATGGTAGTAAACCACAAAACGCTTTAACAAACATTCGGTAAAAAAAATAGGATCCAACCAAAATCGATGAGTCATCTTGAGGGGCATGCAAAGGATCTCACATTGAAAAGATAAAGAACTTAACAAGAGCTTATAAGAGAGCTGCTCATCTCATTGCTAATTGATTTTGAGATGAAATCCCAAAAGAAAAGATAAAGGACCTAATAAAGATTTATAATATAAGTGTGCTTGAGATGCAACCTCATAAACACTAATATAAATATGTTTCAGATCATACGCACCACCCTGTTTTATGTTCCTAACAAAATTTAGTTTTTTTAATCCATCGTTCTGTCCTACATCGAAATATATAATATATCACAAAATCTCACCGTCATTAAAACAGTGAATCAAACATCTCCTAGCGGTAGGGCACACGAGCGGTAGTTTTAGTCTCGAGAAAGGGACAGGTGCCCTAAGAAGATAGGGCTAGGACCGGAAATGATTGATTAATGTGGGTTTGGGAGAGAAATTGGCAATTTGCAAATAAAGGTAACACATTTTACATGCAAAAAAAGAAAAAAGAAAGATATGGCAAATCGTGGTATAGCCACCATAGCATGTCCACCAAGAGAGAGAGAGAAAAATAATGTGTATTTTATTTTATTTTATTACGAAAGATTTTGTATTAGACAGCAGAAAAGCCAACTCGCAGAGCTGAATCCCACGCGTGTGTCCCTCTTGTTTCTCTCATTGGCCACTTTTGATTTGTGCCTTCCACACCCACACTTCAACTCAAAGAGAGAGAGATTGTAGTGTTTTTAACCACGCATGCGGGTGGGGTCGAATACACAAACTCTCATAGAGAACAACATCTGGAATTGGAATCGAATTACACGATTTTTTGATCGAAGATACATGAGGCTCAACTTGATAGAGAGATATGAGTAGTTATTAGGATTGAAAATAGATGAAAATTAGATCAAACTCGAAAGAGAGGAGACACTCATATGATTGATGTTGATAGAGCTATACTTATTGCTTCGATATCTCCGTATCTAACATAATTGAGAGAGAGAAAAAAGTTTGTGTTATATCTCCAAAAAGAGAGAAAAAAACAAGAAATTCACACACACACAACTATATACCTTCTATTTTCAACATAATTATGATTATTCTACATCTAGGTATACTTTAAACAAAAGCATAATAGTTTCTCCGACAAATTTGACTTAGACTTATATTTTTAACTTTATGTTTTAGAAAATCTAGATCTACCGACAAGATTAGTTCAAATTGACAGTTTGTCTTTTACTTTMAGTTTACACTCTTAACTTGTACCCTGCTAGTATATATGAATGAGTAGATAATCTTAATATGTGTGAGAGTATWATTCTTTTATTAGTTTAGAAGATATGATAAGAATTGTGATAGGGATGAAATCATTTAYAAAAGAGTTTGAGATAAATTAGGAGTTAGAGATAATTAAGAAATTTGCAAAATGATGATGATGATAACCTTTTTAATAATAATCTAAGTTGTAGAGAAAATTATATGTGATAAAYGAAAACTATTTGTATRTGCAAAAGCTTAAGGTAGGTGTTGTTGATGCTGCTTTACGACCAAACTCGCTCGTCGGTGACGAGCTGACGTGGACGATACTCCGAGGTGCTCACAAGTGAACCTGCACAGGGAACAGACACTCTAACGCTCAAGTCAGTACGAGCTCAGAAGTTTTAGGTTGTTCTCGGAGAGAATTGCATACCTGATTCGTGGGTGGAATGTCCCTTTTATAGGCAGGCTGGGGGATATGACAATTAGTTGGTTACGACATGTGGTTATGCCTGTCGGACCCCAGGTCGGCGGTCGGACTTGAGGTCGGAATCCTCAGGTTGGTTTAAGTCATCTCTTCGGCTCARCTCGGTATCAAGTGTTGGATTTCAACGTCAACCTATAATGTCTCGTGCTGAGAATAYATCTTCATGTGCTATTTTGATTTTTGACCACCAACAGTAGGTATCTTTTAACCATCCATGATTAAGTATAGTGTGCCTTCAAATGGTTCGTTGGTTTGAATTTATCAAGTAAATCATGTTCTCGTGATGTGCACGTGATGTTGTTTGAAGTGTTGGTCTAAATGTGAGTGGCCGTATTGGGCAAATGGGTGAGGCTTAATTATTCATATAGTATATTAAAAAAATGAAAAAGGATCTTAGGTTTTGTTTGCAATTATTGCAAGTGGGAAGAAAAGGAATAATTGATAAGTGGGAAAACTTGAGTCTCTGTTTGTTTATATGAATATAAATAATACGGTTTAAATACTTTTTTTTTTTTTTGAAGTTTTTTACTTTTTGATTAATTTTGATCTTTGTTGTTTGAATGTCGATTTTGATTGTTTTTTTACTTTTATTTTTTGTTAATTTTAATATATATACTTTGAAAATATTTGTTTTGGTTCCTGTATTTTTTAAAATGACTATTGTGATCTCTATTTGTRTAATTTTTTTAATACAAATTTATGGTTACATTTTAAAAAAAATTAGTGAATGGAATGTATGCTAAAATAATGATGGAAATTAAAAAAATTAGATAATTAAAATAAAATTGAAAATATCAAAATAATCCAAAACAGACATTACAAAAGTATACGAATTAACACGAATAAAAGTTGAAAGCACACAACCCAATTACTTTTGATCTTTAAATATAAGTTTACGAAAAATAAAATAGACAAAAATATTTAAACCAAATAATAATAATGGTAATATTTGGCTTAAAAAGCACGCCCACAAACCAAAATCCCAAAATCACTCTCACGTAAGCATGAGATTCTGTGTCGACATGTCGTTTGATTTGGGCTTCTCTTGGGCTCTCAACATCTTTTCAAAACGATAATGCATAAATCCTATTCTTTTTTACCTTTATTATTGGTCATAAAAAATACACACTGTACTAATATATAATGGTTTGCCCACGTGCTGTTCTAACTTTCTACCTATATTAATTTTTTATGTCTTTAAATTTATACTTTTCTTTGTCAATGGTTTGATCTTTATCCTAACGTTATTGAACTAAAAATATCTATATAGAAAATAATTTAATTTAAATGGTTAACGTATGATTTTGTCTATAATATTTTCAAAGTTTTAATTTCAACTATCGTACTCACAGATTTTTTAGACCCTTAAATTTGTTGGGTAAATTGAATATAGTTCAACTTGTTAAAGTATTATAAATTTTTAAAAGTTAATAGTTTAAATCTCAAATAAATAAAAGTCATGTTGTTATAACTTTTCTGGTGATGGATTACAAATGCACAAACTAATCTTCAACCATAAATATGTTATTGTAAAAGTTTACGTTCAAGTTGATACGATGCCAAAGTTGACGTGATTCTAAATAGAGTCATATGTTTACTAAAGTAACGATTTAATCTTCGAATTTAGTACCTAATAATTTAATCAACGTTGAGTTTAAATTTGCCAATATACTTAAAATTCTAAATCATTATAATGATATCAAAGTAAATCTGCCGATATAGCTCAATTATCAATTAAGAAGACGAGAAGTTTAAATCTCCACCTCCACATAATATTGAACTAAAAAAACAAAATGAAATTTATTACCATCGAGGGATGTTGATGGTACAAAAAAAATGGTCATAAATTTTAAATTATTAATGGGTGACAAAAATGCAAGTGATCTAAAAATAGAAATCTGAAAACAAATCATATTCAGAAAAAAATTATGTTCACAGGCATATTTATAATCGGATGGTAATCACAAACTAAGTATTTAGTTAAATCTAAAACAACATTAATTAATTAATATATATTATAAATTTGGTAGAATTATTATTTTACAATATTATATATTTTATAATATATTATATTTTAAAATTTTTAATTTTAACAAAAATAAAGCAAGTTTATAACATGATATAATATGTTTATTAAAATTTTTATCTTTCTAAATATAATTATGCATTTTAAAGTTGAAATTCAGAATCTAAAAATACTATAAATATTAATAAAAAATGTTGTTAAAATTTTCACGATTTAAATCACATAACTCTAAAACAAAWTTTTTTTTTTCAAATATTATGAAAACAATTTCTGAAAACAAATCTGCCAAATTATTTGACCAAAGATAAATCAACCGGAAGCGAGGCCCACACCCAATAACGAAGTGGTTAAAGTAGGGAATTACAGAGGAAGCTATGGCCATGGCAGCCGTCTCCGGCGAGAAACGGGAAATTTTTAGAGTTTAACGAAATAGAGAAGTAGAAGATTCGAAGGTCCGATCGAAGGAATTGACTGCTAGGAAATCTTGAAATTCAATTCCATGGCTCCCGCCAAGATTACTGTCGCCGCTCATATTCTCAGCAAGAAACTTCAATTCAAACCTCAGCTCTGCAAGTTCCTCGGCATTCCTCTCGTTTCTCCCCGCGGCGATATTCCCATCCTAATCTCCAAGTTCCTCAAGCTCTATCAACCTCAGGTCTCTCTCTTTCTCATTTTGCAGAATCTTTTAGCTACTAATGGCTGAGACAATCGTCTGCCTCACGCCTCTCGAAATTTTATACGACTCGCCAATTTCTGGAACGATTGCCCTTTCTTCTAAGTATTGGATGGCAGTGATGTTCCGATGAAAAAACCTAATCAGTTTATGAGTATAGAAGCCTAGTTTCAAATTTCTATTTGTTCTTTATGAACGGACTCTCTTTTATCTTCTTTCTTGTGCTGGTGTACGGCTGTTATGGCTTGTTTTAAACTTGTCTTTTGTCTCGGTTTTGACATTAGACGRCTGTCTTAATGTTAATACATGACTCTGATCAGTTGTATGTCCGTTTGCTTAGAAAGCACATCTAATGTTAGCTATTGACTTATCTTCTGATGACTTTTAGCTATTGCTTTAATGTAGATCATAATTCACATGTTATATTGTCTTATCAGATTACTTAAATTAAAATTATTTGCTAAGAGGGGATCTGTTTGCTTTATTCCTGTTCCCACTACCTTAGTATTCGTATCATATTTCTGTGAGATACGACATTGAGGAGATTAATTTTTCTATTGGAATTTATTAATCTCCCTATTAGTGAATGAGGATCAAGTGGAGAGGGACAAGTTGGTTGAGAGTGATTGGTAAGATAATATTCCAATTTTAATGTTGAACTACTATGTTGTGGGCAAATTTTAAGCCTTTAAGATTAATGTTTTGTGGCTCATGGTTGTTATATAACTTATAGTTTAGAAGGAAAAGGAAGAATGTTATTGCAGGCGGAAATTGACAAAATCCTACTCCTACTGGAGAAAAGGGAAGACTGGAATTGGAGAGAAGTAAAAGAGATTCATTAATTTAGTACTTACTTTGTTTGAGCAGATGATTATCTGGGTATTCAGATTAGTTAAAAAGTGGTTATTACAGGTGAATTTACTAAGTTGAAAATTTCAGTTGACTGTTCCCTCAGAAAGAGGGGAGGGGAAGAAAAAGGAAGAAAAGAAAGAACCTTAGTTAGATTCAAACTTGGAGATCCTAAATAACTAAAACTAGGTTGAAGCAAATCCTAAACACCAAACCACTTTTGATGAAATTTATTGGCATACTCCTAAAACACTGAAATTGTTASTCATGATAGTTTAGATTTCATCCTTGAAATAGGATTTTTCTCGACCATGTTTTGTGCTCAATCAATTTTGTTTAGCCTCACATTTATTTAATATTTGGTTTGTTTCAATCTCCAAAAAGTATAAATATATGCTTGCTTGTGTATTTCTCTTTTGGGATGGTTCTTGAAAAATTCTTCGGTATGCAGAGCCCTGGRCTCAGAAAGGACAGGATCTGGGAGGAGAACTTGAAAGCCATATTATGCGGAAAAGACGGAGTTGGGATGCCAGAGGTTAACAAAATACTCTCTCCGCAATTCAATGATTCAAGTCTAAGAAATATGGAAATGGAACGTCAAAAAGATATCAGGTCATCAGTGCCTTACCCTTGTTTTTCCATTACTCTTTTATGTTTAAACATGTGAAACCACTGGATCTATGTTCATAACCTAAATCCGAATCTCTCCTCTCTGGTGTTGTTCATCCATTTCCTCATGGTTGCTCTTTTTCTCTTTTAACCTGCAWCTTTCAAGCAATATCTTGCTACACTTCAACCATGTTCTGTATTTACCTGATGATCTTTTTCCTTTCCAATATTTTAGGCATGACAGAAGATGAGGCCGAGGTGGATAGGCTCTGACCGTTCTGGTAACATCTTTTTACTCTTCTATTCTTCTACAAAAGGCTTGTGCTTTTCATATTTTGATCTTGCATCTTAGTCGGATCAATGTCACTGTCACTGCTGCAGGAGTGCGCCTTTTGAGTTGATGAATTGAGCTAGAAGCTGCTCTGTTAGACTAGAACTTTCGGCCTTTCGGGTGAGCCCCATTTAACAAATTCATCTGTGAAAAGTTTTCTTTCTTATCTCACACTGTTAATTATGGAGTAGTTGATAAAAGACTGATCAAAGAAAGTGTCTCTCTCTGACGATTCCATGTTTTGCTTTTCTTTTTTCTTGATATCTATATTTCAAGTGCGTTCGTGGGCTGTTCTGACCTGAAAATTAAGCATACTTTTGCTGAATCTGGAAGAATAGATTACCTTCCCTTTACTTTATAGCACCTGCTGATCTGACCTGAAATTTATAACCTTGGCACTTATGACATCCATAATCTATTTGGATTCTCTCTGGTTTTTTTTAAGCCATCTACTTTTYTTTTTTAGTTGGACAACTTGGTTTGTTTTTAGTGCATCTTTTCTCTTCTTTTTTAATAAAAAAGGTGAAAAGAGCACCCATTAAGACTGGATGGTCTAAATTTAGCACTAGATACTGCAGCAGAGAATCGGCCCCATGTTTCATTATGTTGCTATGGCCCAACTAAACTACCTTTTTTCTTTCTTCTTTTTTTCTTCTTTGCCTGAAATGACTTTTGAGGGTAATGAGTTTAGATTTTTTAGGAGTGGAGAAGTGTTGAAGATATACATTGTAAATTCTCTAGGTAATGCTTGGCGCTTGGCTCATGATTTTATCAAGTCTAGAAACTTGGATTGTGAAATATTGATTTATAGAATGTGTTTTGATAGTACCAAGGAATAAATTTTACAATTTTGGGCCAATGCGAGCTTAGTTCAGCAATTAAAGCATCTTGCTCATTTAGCTCTATACTCCAAAATTAGAGGGTTCTTTTGTAATAGCTCTTTTGGTGAGGGGTTCTCTCTACCCTTTGCCCTTAGGTTCTTCTTTTTGTGAGTAATACATATCTCTCATGTCTCTTATAAAAAAGAAAGCATCTTGCTCATTTCCTAGAAGTCGAAGGTTCAATCTCCGTCCCTACATTTATTGTACTAAATTAAATTACAATTTTAGGTTGTATTATATGTCTTTTGATTAACAAATTCATATCAAAGGATAACCAAATCCATGTATCTAATATAAGGGCATGTTTGAAATTCTAAAATTGTTTTTGTCGTTTTCTAAAATCACTTGTATGTACATTGTAAAAAAATTACTATTTTAAACCGAAGTGATTTTGACATGGCAAAATACTCTTCTAACACGATTGTTAATGTTTTACAATAATATCCAAGCGATTTTAAAAAATGAAAAAAAGTAATTTTTGCATAGCAAAACATTCTCTGAGTTCAACTTCCTAGCTTAAGAAAGTTATAAAGATCTAATGTGTGAGCTCAACACACCCTCACACACCCCTTAGCCCTTAGAGTAGATAGATAGATTTAAAATTTAATGGTGATATTTACTGATTTGGTTAGTTCGGCTTCCTGAGAGTGCAATATTTGAGTTTTCAGTTTGAATTAATATGTTGGTTATCTTCTTATTTCTAGTAAATAGTTCTCTATCTTTGAATTGTTCGTTGATTTCTAATTTTAGCATTGAACTTTTGATTGTTTCAATTTGTTCTCTCATTTTTATTATTCAATGTTAAAATMACTCTCTAGTATTTAGGGCTCTAAACTAGAAGATCGACAAAATCGACCATTGGTTGGTCAGTCGGTCGGTGGTTTTTAACAAAGGTATAATCGATATGGTAAACTTTTTGATATAGAATAATACTATTTCAAAATTTTCTCTTCATAAATGTGACATGAATTTGTCAATGTAATCAATATGTAGTTGTTTTCTAGTACAACATGCGGGATGGAGGATCGAACTCATAACCTCTTGATTGGAGATATGTGTCAACTATTGAGCTATGCTTGCTTTGACAGTAATGTAGATGAGACAAGAGATCTTCCTTATTAATTTGAATAATATTTAGGTGCTTATCGGKAAGTAGGTATCTTCTTACTTACCACCATTAAATAATATTTAGTGGATATTTTCTCTATTTAATATAATTTCATTAATTTTGAGAGACAAACAGGGAATGAATTCGACCTATGTCTCATTTTCGTGTTCTTTAATCACCTTTTGATTTTATTTATTAATTTTTGCACTCGCACATTAATAAAAATGGTTAAACATTTTACTAAAAGTTGATAATTAAAAATAATGAGCGATCTAGATAGTTTTCTCTAAATTATTATTTTAAAATATATTATATTTATGACTTAATATTTAATTGCCAAAAGAAGAAAAAGGCAGGGGATTTCGTGTAGGAATTTTGAACCTGCCCCAATTGCTTGAAAATGAGGATAGGGCAAGARTGGGGAGAAGCCCCAAGTAATGTAAAACCCATATGTTGGTTTTAGCATCGATTTATACTGAAAATTGATCATTACCAACCAARTGAGACTCCCTTACAAAGTTTAATTTCGAGTCGGTTTAATTAATTTTGGTAAATCAAAGAATGTAAAATAATATACTACTAATTAATACAATTTTAGATAACGTAAATCTTTTGAAAAAAAAAAATAGAGCTATTGGATAGGTAACAAATTGCAATCTTTTGAATAATAATAAATAAACTCRATTTTATTAATATTCTTGAGTATATTTCAACTAATCAAGACATTATTAACATACGGTCCAATTAGCACACGATCAATTGGTTTGATTCTTTGTGGTTTGATTTCTTGATTTGGCACTAGATCAAGGACTACAAGGACAGCTCCATGAAGTCATGCTTGAGTCTCTGYCGAAGATYGATCAATGGAGTTGGAGTTGTGAGATTTAGTTGTAGGGTCGTTGTTTGTGATGGAAGAGACGAAGGAGCGGTGTGTAGTTCAGGAGGAAGAAATGCATGTAGTGCACTAGTGAGTTTGGAAGGGAGAAACTCATGAAGCAATTGGTTGAGAGGATGAACAATGATGACAGTGAGAAACTAATAAAGTGAATTGTTGGGGGAACGAAGAATGATAGCCGTTGGGAGGATGAACAATGATGGCAGCGAGAAACTAATGAAGTGAATGACTGGGAGAACAAACAATGATAGCAATTGAGAGTGTTGGACAAATGACAACTACGTGTTTGGAAGAAATGAAGAGAATGAATAAAAGGGAGAGACAGGGATGACAATTGAGAGAGAGAGCACATCGAAGGTGTGAGGGAGGAACGGACAAATGAGATCTAGGGTTTGATAATGGTAGAGGCCTAGGATTTTGGTTCGGTTCGGTTTTTTTCAACTTTTAAACTTAAAACCAAACCTCATCGTAAATTTCAGGTTTTCTTAAATAAAAATCAAGATGTCTAATTATATTAAAACAATCATGTCAAACTAACTTCAATTTTCAAATTATTGATTTTGCGATTTTGTGTGCATTCCTATTATTTACAGTTAAGGTTAAAATCCTTCTATGTGTGGTTGAACTTAAATGATTATTAATCAGGTTATTCCTGTCAATGTATATATTTTTATTATTGGCATCTGTCAAAATAGGCAACCTCACCCACTTCTATTAAAATAAATTACAATAGGCTAGATTGAAATACTCAATAGCTTAGCTATTAAAATAGAGATAAGTTGATATGTTGTTGAAATAATATACTAATTTAATTAAATAAACTCTACTACAATAGGGCATGTTTTATGACTAAATCAACTCCTAATTTTCAAAGATGGCTTTAGTTTTTAGACACGAAAGCTACTCGTAGATTTTAACAATTATTATTATATACACACGAACCCTCACAAGAGAAATCACATGTGTAGGTATGTTATTTAAACATATAGATAAATTATTATTTTAACTTTTAAACTCTCGCATTTTTAGAAAAAATATAGAGATTAAAATTGAAACTAATATTAAAAAGCATAAAAATTGAAAATGTTAAAACTTTATTTTATTACTAACATTTAAAAATTTTATTTTAGTCTCTAATTTTCTTTAAAAAGTAATAACTATTTTGACGTTTGTAGTTAATTCTTGTCTCATCCAATTTAACATCTACTTTAGCCAAATCTACGTATCTTTAATACATGTCTAAATTGAAGTTACGTCATCCCTACATGAATTGATGATAAAATAACATTAAAGATTCAAAGAAAGTGATGATATTTTGGAAGTATAAAATTTCAATGAGTAGATATTTAAACCCAACTAAACTTGGAATTTAACCTTTAATATATTTTAGTTTTACCTATAAATAATATTGAACTTGCTTGCAATTGCAGCCAATAAAAAGCCATTCCTCCATGGCGGCATCTCTTGCGATATTTACTTTTATATTCTTTCTTTTTTAAATAATTAAATTCCAAGACTTTCATGGGTAAGGTTCTATAGGGAAGGCATTCGGGCAGATTCTCAATGGCTTCTCCAAGTTGATTTGATCCAATGGAGCGTGGCATTTTCTTTATTATTTGAAATTAAATTTGTTTAGCAATATTCCTTTTTTCTAAGATTATTCGAAATATCGTCTCAAAGTTATGGTCGAGTAATACATTTTTGGATAGTTACATATTCCCAAATATGGGAACAACGGATAAAACATGAGATCACCGAGTGAATTTAATTGTAGAGCAGAGGCACAAAATTGAAATAAAAAATATAGATTTGAGCTCTATTTAATTCAATTTAACAATTTATATGATAGTTGATAAAATGTGAGATCACCAAATCGCTTTGACTATATATGAAATAGGAGAGCAAAATTAAAATCGAAAAAATAGGTTCAATCGGATTTAGCAATCTATGATTAAATTAGTTGGTAGGTCTGGTTGTCTATACGGTGATCTATTCATTTTTTCTTTTCTTTCATTAAGAAATTTATGTGATATTGGAATGCATAGGTGTACTAAAAAAAAGTGTAGTTGGTTCAAAATAAAAATACCTATAGTTAAAACGAATATAGCTCAGCGGTAATTTGCATGTTCCTCCAATCATGAGGTTGTGAGTTTGATCTTCCACCCCCACATGCCCCACATGTTGTACTAAAAAAATAAATAAAAATACCTAACATTTCACAATTTCTAGGTCGAGTGAATATATAATACATTCCTATTACCCATCTTTGTGTCATAAATTTACAATGAAGGACTAATAACACTTTCCAAATTACAAACCAAGTAAATTTTAGAATTTAAAATTAAAATTTAGTTCAACTAATAAAAACAGTAATCTTATACGAGATTAAAAGTTCAAATTTTCATCTTATCATATTGTTGATGAACTCAAAATTATATATAAAACCTTAAACCTTCCATTATCAAATTTATTCTTTTCAATCACATGAGCATTTTCAATATTATGTTTTGAAGTGTTCAAATCCAATGATGATCACCTACCTTATAAATTAGTAATTCTTATATATTTACTGACACCAAATGTTGTAGGATCAGACGGTTGTTCTGTTAGATTAGTCGATGTGCACGAAAGAACTTGAAACTCAATATTATTTTTTAGCATATGATTTTGAGCAGCGTGTGTCAATTATTTAATACACGGTGCTAATAGAAAAATAGTTTTATTTCCTTTATAAAAAAAAAATAGTTTTATTTAGAAACTCTTGTTTCAAAACTCTTTCCATACACACGTTTAATTTAGATATACACAAGAAAAATCTTCGGGAGTGATCAATGTCAGTCGGACGAATACATGTGTGCCACGTGTCCGAAGCAGCGTTAGCTGAATATTCGAACGCGTCGAAAGCGCGTTTACTTTTTATTACCTTCCCGCGAAAGAAGGAAAAAAAAAGGATAAATCTTATTCGCTTCCCCTGCCTCTCTCTATATATAAAGAATCCTTCTACGATTTAATTCTCTCGTCTCTCTCTCCTCTTCTCTCTCTCTATCTGAAGAACCCTCGTCCATCGGATCGGTAAATCCTCTCTCTCTTCCGAGTTTTCTTTGTATTAGAAGTTGTTTTGATCCGCAAAATATGTATATATCGGTAGCAGATGCTTGCTTTGATTCTGTTGCGAATCTGGATTTTGTTATTGTAGCCTGTAGATGATTCTTAAAATTGGCTGGTGTATGGTGTTTGGAGTGGGTTTTTAGGGAGAAATTTGTTTTTAATTAGTGTCTATGAATTGAATTTCATTGTTTGATCCTTGGAAATTCCATCTGGAACCGTAGCGTTTAAATTGGAAGTCTAAATGAATGTCGATTAATTTCAATTGCGCATCTATATCTTCGTTTTCGAATTTATGTATTAAGTTAAGATCATGAACTTACATTCAGGATCGATTACATGTTCGTAATCGGCGATCGGCTGTTCGTCTTATGCGAAGAATTTTTGTTGCTTCATGCTCTGTCTTCATCGTTCTTAACGGAAAGCTGAATCTTAAATTTCTTTATAAGGTGATATAATTATATTATGTAGGATTTTCACCGGAAAGGAAGTTGTTGGGAAAAGTTTGACCTCTCTCCATGGATATTCTTTTTCTTTCCCTTTCTACCTCTAAATTTTCTTAGCTAGACTTGGAAGTTTTGTTTGGAAATCATCAGGTATCTGGTATTTTATACTATACGGGGTTTAGAGCTGTATGCTATATCAATATAGTTGCACAGTATTTGTAATATATCCAAGAATTTCCATTCTAATTGATGTTGGACTATGCCCAGATCCATAAAAAGTTTGATATATATGACTGTTTGTTTGTCAATTTCACAGTTCTAATTATTAGCTAACAAACCATGGGGGGCGGAAAAGATAAACATGATGAATCTGACAAAGGTTTATTCTCGCATTTGGCTCATGGTGTTGCTCATCATGGAGCAGGATATCCTCCAGGAGCAGGATATCCCCCACCTGGAGGGTATCCTCCACCTCATGGCTATCCACCACAAGGATATCCCCCGGCACACGGCTACCCCCCGGCTGGCTATCCCCCGGGCGCTTATCCTCCCGGCGCATACCCTCCCGGTGCATATCCTGGACCCTCTGCACCACACCATGCAGGTACTGATCCAATTTTACATACATGTATCAGAATTATTTTGGAAGCATCAGGGTTTTAGAACTTTGGAATCGCCCTGTAACCTGTAGAAGCAAAACTTTTGTCTTCAATTACAGTTTGCCTGGGCTGCAGGAATTTTCTGCTGTCTGATATCTGTATACTAAAGTTTACAATTATCCAACATTTTCCATACATATCTCAATTTGTTATTGGACCACATCATACCTCCTGGACAATAGGAAATTACTCAAATTTTCCAAGGAACACGGGGATTCTTGATTATAGTTGATTGTGTATCTTTGTTGTTCATTCCAATTAATCTAAAATTCAGGGCACGGAGTAGCGGGAATGCTCGCCGGTGGTGCTGCCGCTGCGGCAGCTGCTTATGGCGCCCATCATGTCGCCCATGGCGCCGGTCATTACCCCCATGGCGCTGCTCATTACGGGCATGGTGGAAAATTCAAGCACCATGGAAAGTTCAAGCATGGGAAGTTTGGGAAGCACAAACATGGGAAGCACGGGATGTATGGTGGAGGGAAATTCAAGAAGTGGAAGTGATTTTTCTGCCATCTCTATTCACCGAGCCTTCTTCTTTCAGTGGCTTTCAAGAATGGCCTCGGTACAGGTAGTGGGGTACCATCTCCCTCCTTCCCTTAATCTCTCTTATCTTCTGCTGTAATATGTCTTAAAAGACTCTTTTGGATATCGCGCAGTCTTTTTTCTTATCATAACTATACTGTTTAATGGTCTGCTTCTGTACTGCTGCTGGACATCAATAATCTGGATCACTTCCAGTTTTAACCCTTATTTTCTTCTTCTTGTAAATCCTCTTAATTGTTCTTGCTTTAGGTGGCAAAGAAATATGTACTATTTGATTTTTCTTTGGGAAATCAAATTTATTTCCAGCAAGTAAAAAGAAAATATGTGTATTTGAGATTTTATTTTATTTTCTTCTTTTGGATTGATATGTAGTGCATATCAAATGTCAACGAGGATTTTTAAGAAATGATGAAGTCAATTGTTAATTATCAGTTTGATATCACTTTTATTTGTGGTGTTCTGTTTTTGTAAATTACATTTACTGAATAATTTTGCTTTAGTAGTGTTTCTTTAATTTCGGATTAAGAATGAAAAGGAAAATCTAAAATGTGGTTTAAGTTTTGAAATTTGGTCTGCGTTTTGAAAATATGTTTCTTTTAAAGTGAAAAAGAAAGAAATGACAAATAAGCAACCTTAAAGACCTAGAATATTATAATAATTTATAATTATAAAATGTTGAATTTCAAATTAAAAATTAATATTTCACGGTGAATTTTTATTTGAATGGTTAAATTTTCATGACATATATATATCAAAATTCAAATCAAGTCCTAATGTCTTGAATGAAAATTTTGAAAGAGCAGGAGCTGAAAGAGAGGGAAGGAAACCTCTGACAAGGGCCAATGTAAATCGTGTGTTTGTTTGTTATTGACTTTTTTAAAATGTTTTCAAAATCAACATTTAAAAACTAAAAAAATTAACTTTTAAAAACTTATCTTTGTTAATGAAATTTCGTTAAGAATTTAAATGTTGTAGCTTAAAGAAAGTGTGAAAACTCCATCAAAAAAATGTTGCGGGAATCCAATATAATTTTCAAGAACAAACAACAAAATGAAACAGTTATTAAATAGGAGACTTTTGACACTTAAGTTTACTCTCTTTTTATGACGAGAAATCTAGACACTTGGTAACATTTGATAGTAGATAAGTTGCTTATTTTTTTTAGAATTTGAACTCATGACCTTTCGGTCAAAGATAGGTACCAATTACAATTTACCGCAAGTTTATTGTTGAAAAGTTACACGGGAGGACGTTTATGGTAAATTCAACTGCCTTTAAATTTGATGGTTTATATGTTTTATGCAAAAACATGTGTTTTGAGATGACAAAATCAAATATAGGCCATTTGAAATGAACTTGGTACACCTTATTTTCAGACCCTATTCAGCCATATGGGCCATTTGAAATGAACTACAACACTGTAAAAGGATGCGTGAAATAATGTTGATCAATTAGTTAATATGCTCACTCGAGAAGAGACCAAGGATGCAAAGAATAGGAGTGTCCAACAAATATCGATAATATGAAAAAATATCTCCTCCACTCACTCGAATATTTTATATTTGGGTTGAGTTCATCGTCCAGTGAAAGATGAGTGAATTTGGTTCATCTCCAGTCTTAAAATCAGAAGGGAGCGGATTAGTTCATAATTTGATTCTTATCTAAAGACAAATGATCGAGGAAGGGTGTCTAGTATTGGGTCTAAAAAGTATCTCGACCTAATATGAGCACGATCTACCGTGTTTTTAAAATGAATATGGACTTGGGCTACTGGATCTTTGGAGGAAGAGTTGGGTTGGGCTTATTTGTGTGTAAGGGATTCTAAGAAGGTAAAAGGAAGACCTTAGAAAATATTGTGTAGTTGTAAAATGTTGATTCGGTGCAACTCAAACTATTTTTTAAAATAATTATGTATCAACTTTAATCTTTTAAAGTTTAAATATTGATCCATAGTTTAGCAGTAAATATCATCTACTTCTTTTCTTATTGACGTTACATTTCATTTGAACGTCTCAATATCTATCAAATTGATTAATTGGTTGGGTTTACCAAGCTACCAAAATTTTCAAATTATGAGGTGAGAAATTACTTATTACCTTCATATTTAAAAATAAATTGATGGCGTGTGATTTAATCGGATATAACTTGCAAGTTAATGGATTGATTTTTTCATTTTTTTATAGGAAAAGTCAAAGTCGTCGCTAAAGACAAACAGTGTCAAATGATTTTGAATGTTAATCGTGTGGTTTTTATTATATAGGATTCTACTTGACAAAATTACACATCATAATATCAATTTTTTAAATTAAGTCAACTACAATTTTAAAAGACTTAAATCAATTTTACAAGAAATTATAAAGAATATACCTCATTTTTCATGATTGTGTTGGATGATAATTTTATTTTGTATCATATATTTTGTTTTGTTTTCCGCTTTTGATAATAGTCAGGTACTCTAGATTAAATTTTAAAAATCAAAAGACCAAAGACATTGTTGGAGGCATGAAATGGTACTGCACTATATGGAGGACTGAGAGGGGATATACCATCAAATCGACCCCATATGCTTTTTTTCACTCAAAGAAGAGCCTGCAACACTTAGCCATATTTTGGATGGAGAGACACCGATAGTTTACTTATCCAGGTAGAGCACGCTCGATAGATAGACCTTAGATCTAACATGCTCAACTGCCGGTCGGATCCATTGTCGAACAACCAAACTCATACATAGGGGGCTCCACTCTGTAATTAGTGATCGCATTCTAGCTTAGTCTCAATATTAAGGTCGAACTCTAAAACTGACGCAAGTGTCAAGTGTTTCTTCCCTTATGCAGATCATTTTACCAGCTCGCTCCAATCTATCCAACTTGTCCAGTCAACCCAACCTTTCAAGTCGATTTGGATCGAAATTTGTTGTAAAAAAAAACTTATTATTTTTTGTTTGTTTAATTTCACTTTAGTTTAAAGAAAAGGTAATATTATGGAAGTGGCCAGAAGTTTTGATAATGAGATATTGTAATTAGAAAAANAGAAAACAAAATTTATTATCGAGCCCTAAATATATTAATTTAGCAATATGCTAAAAATAGTATATTTGGCTCACAATTTTACAACCTTAGTTGTTTTTTTTTTTGGGAGATATACAACCTTATGTTTATGATGTCTAAGAAGTTGGAAAATTTAAAGTTTATGAATTTGTGTTTCGATTGTTAAAATTGATCCAAAATAAATTGTAGGAATTTGTAACCTATATTTATTTAGTTTTGGTTTTTGTGAATCCTATTTTTATTATATATAAAATAAATTATAGGAAGAAACTTTTTCTTCCTATTTTGCCGTCTTAATTTAAACGTTTTCATAGTTATATTAGGACAATTTTGTCCTTCAAATATAAAGTTTTCTCTCTCATCCTGTGTTTCTTTCTCGCACGACATTTCCTCCAATTTTTCTTTTTTTTTCATTTTCTTTCAGAATACTTTATCTCCGTCCTTACAAATTCTACTTTTTTTCAAACTAATTCTCTCTTAATCATGTCAAATGTTAATCTTTTTAATTTAATTTTTTCTCTCTTAATCATGTCAAAGATTAGAATATAAAGAATTAGAATATGTATACTCTTTATTTCTATAAATTAATCTAAAAAATTATGACTTATTTTTATTATAATTAATAAAAAATTTTAAAATTTTTGTAATTTTTTATCTTCAACCATTATATAAAATGCTTTTATATTTTAAAAGTTTTGTAACTATAAAAATATAAATATAAAAAATAGAGATTCGGGTCGTCATTAATCAAATAATATTTTACGTAATACGTTTATCTTTCATTTATTCTAGAGTTTCGATGAAAGGATTCATACATTCCTTTATATATGAAGGATTGACTCAAATAAGGAATGAAAACAAATTTTTATTTCCATTTAGGAACAAAAAAGATGATAAATTCATGAATATGTGTTTTTTTAAGTAAAAAAATTCAAGTAATAGGGGACTATGTATTAAAGTTGTTTATTTTTGTTTGTTGTATTTTACTTATGGGAAGTTTCCAAGTAATTGACACTTCTTAAATTTTTTTAGTCACAATCGATCAGATTAGCCGGTGATGAGAATTATTGAGACGTCGATTTGTGAGATAAATATGGAAACTACAAAAATATATATATATATATATATATATATATATATATATATATATATATATATATATATATTTTGAGATAAACAGTGAGAAATAAAATAGTCCAATCATATTAAAAAAATTAACTATTTAATTAATTKGTATGTTTTTATGCTTTAAAATAAAACTATGAAATTCCACCTGCATGCACGTGTTTCATACAAGTAATTTAATTTATAAATGTTAGATTTTAGAATATGGGATAAAAAATAGTTTTCATAAATCTAACTTCCAAGAACGCATATACATAATTTTGTATTGTTTCATATTATAAATATAGACTCAAATTCTTAACCTAAATATAAATAAATCAAAATTTTGAATTTCCCTAGTTTTACAAAGTCAACTATATGGTTTTTAGATACAATAATTTCAAACTGACTGTGACATGTATAGCATTGCACCCGATCCAAAACTTTATTGTATATATTTAACCTCTTTCCTAACCTTTTAATTGACCAATTTATATAAATGGAATTTGTTCATAAGCAAAAACCTTGGGAGGCTCAACATATTTAATTAATTCGTTAGAATGTGGTCAACTTTGGATTGCATTTTTCTTTTTCTAAAAAATTAATGCTACTCTCCATGATGTCAATAACTCAACTCAAAAATGTTCTATAAATTAATGAAATTTGACATTTTGAATTTTTATATAATATATATCATATCATTCCATAAAGTTACATGCAAATTTATTATTTATTTTACAATAAATTCTTCTCTTATTTTTCCATTTCAATTCAAACTCGTGAAAAGAAAGGTGGGTGTTGAAAAAAAAATTGATTTTTTCAAATATATTTGTTTAATCTTTCAACTTTCAAATGGTTGGTTTAGATTCTAACTTTGCATAAGGAAATATTTTTGTATTTGTTGAAAATTTTATATTAATTAATTTTTTAATAATCTAAATTCATTTCAAAATCTAATTACAACAAATACTCAGCTGTATGTAAGGGAAGAAAATATATGTTTTATATCAAATTTTTGTTAAATAATTAAAAAAATTAACCGTTAGTAACTAAGATTATTTTTTTTATCATTATAAAAAATGATTTTTCATGAAAAATTTAGGAACTAAAGATAAATGTTTGAAAATTTAGAAATGGACATAGGATAATAAAGATAAAATAGCTA